GAATGCATCAATGATGAGAACCGAAGGAATCCTTGCATTGCGAATCCCCAAACATTCAAACACTGACAGTTATATGTAAAGGTTTATAAGCAATTGAATGTTGGTTTCAATTTCCCGAGAGTTTTCGTATTAAGATGGCGCTAAAGATATTACCATATTACCGCACAATTTAAAAATGTCCTGTGATCCGTTAACGATGCCCACTTAAAAGTACATACTCATAAATTTCAGTAATCATTAGCAAATTCCCATTCAAAGTTTTTCTGGCGAATTCACATCTGAATTCTATTTTCTTAATTCCATTAGGAAATTGAGTCGCATTGTTCACAGAACTGATTTCAAATTATCAAAAAGAATTATCAACAGACAATTTTTAACGATTAGTGGATAGGGACCGAATGGTTATACAGTATTCGCTGGTGCTTCTTAGCGGCTTGTAATTGCTCCGGTTCGTCAGAGCATCCGCGATGTTACCGAACATTTTCTTATGTTACATTTGCGCTTTTTGTCTCTCACTACGTGAAGAGACGAACGATTTAAAAACCGAACATGGTTGGGTTCGCCTGAGATAATGCTGAAAATCGGTGAATAAGATTAGGAACCTTATAAGAACCTTAGCGATTATTTGACGAATCTGCCAGCAAAGATGCTGAGCTATTGTCGAGCTCACATTTCAAAGTTTTAGCATCTATCAGCGAGACTGGATTGCTTGCATAATATCATCGCTAAGTTGTTGATGAACGAACTCATGCAGTTACCTCCCTTATCGCTGCATGATATTAGTCCTCTTTCTCTGTTTTTGTTGTTCGTTTGCTGCGTGCCATCATTCGTTTCTCTATCTAGTCACACGCTCGCTCAGCTCTTGTTCTTGGTTGGCATTCGTTCACAAACAATAACTCACTCTCTCTCAAAAAAAAAAACGAAATCTTAGGCAATCAAGCAAAAAAGCAAAGGCGTTGAATGCCATCTGAGTGACAAATTCTCCATAATCAACGCAATATGAGGGCAAGAACCGTTGATTTTTTTTTTCAGATTTTTTTTCAAATTTGCAGATTTCTATGTTGTAAGGGATTAATATAGAGATTTAGCATCGTGACGGTCACATTCACCGATCCCCTTCTCAAGTAAACTGACAATGTAAACTTGATTGGTTGCTGACAGTGAAAATATATTATGCCTTGCAATTGTTCAATCCGAGCAAGTAGGTGTAGATAAGCTCGGCCATTTACGGAAGCAATAAAACGATCAACTAGTGAAATATGAGCGCGACATTCATAACCTTTTCAGTGTGTTTTGTTGAATATTAATGTGTTCAATTTAGGTTTCAATAATTTTAATTTATGCGGTAATTCATTTCTTCTGATACGTCTTGATCAATGGATTTAGTGACGACGAATTCTGAGTTGATCCAAGCTACCAATCAAAAAGTTTGTGTGGAGTTGAAAAATGAGGAGAGTGCAATTGAACGTTCCCATCGATGTTCAGATCGAACACTTGCTGTGCTCAGAAAATGGGTTTGTACTATTGCTTATCTGAGCTCTGTTTAATTTATTGGTATTTTACATCTCTTGGAATCGCGTATTTCGATATTTATGAAACTGGTATCCTGACTGTCCAATTCCCGTTTGCTTTGGTTCCGTATTAAGTTTCGTCTAGTGAAGGCCTAGGATGTTCTCATTATGTGGATGTTCGTCATTTGCAGTTTTCAGGGACAGATTCCAGAAAATGGATTACCAGAAGTAGTGATTCGTCGCTTTTTAACCGAAATGGCGTGTTGTGATACAAATAATCGGTATGACAGGGTCAGTTATACCAGTTCATTTATCATTGCACTGTTCATTTGAACGCTAAAATTATCGTTCAATGCGGTTCTCTTAATGTTCCATATTTTTGCACTGAAATTTTAATAATATATTGGCTCTCTTAATGTTGGATAAAAATTCATTACTTCTATTTCCTGAAGCTGAAAAGTATTGCAATCGTTTTTGGTTTCATCTCGTAAGATACGACTATTATATTAACTTAAATTAATTCATTATTTCCGTGCCGTGTCGGATGTATCTCTGTCAACGTTTGCAATCCATGCATTGAAATTATAAAGCAGACTTTCAATTCGCCATCTTTTTTTGCAGATTCCAGTCGGTGCAGGTGAACGAGAAGGAAGGATAGTGTCGTCGTTGGTCAGCCAGCTACATTTTGGGTAGTTTTTTCCAACCTTTAACGTTAACCCGTTCGTAAACTGAGTTATGCTTAAAGAATTACCCGCTAAAATGTTCACAAAAAGGTTCACGAAACGCTCGAAATTGTCGTCGATATTTATCTTTAGCAATTATTTGAATTGCACATTCTGGGTTGAGTCAATTTTCGAATATTGTGAGACTCTGCGTGGAATATTGTTGTTATTTTTCTATTGGCTTGTGACGGTACAGCATCGTCAAAGAATTTGGNTATTCTAAGATCCGATTGCTTGGAAAATATTCCAAGCGACGAGTCATAGAAAGAAGCGAATCTGCTGTTGGTACTTAGTATTATTCGTTTCTTCTATCAAGTGAACCGTCGCTTTCACCAATAAGTATTTCTGTAGATTTTCAGTTTATCACATGGTATGGGACGTTCTGGTAATCTCATCGATCAGCAACCCAAAGCAATCGGCTCATCAATGCTGGCAAGAATTGCCAACTCGCTAGCTTTAGACGCTATTCGTTTTCTTGGTCAGTCTTTCTTATTTCGATATATCCTGTCTGCGAGAGTCATTTGGGCATTGGAATCTGTTTGTTCCACCGATCGACATTTATTAGCACATCGTTCGTACTGTTCTTATGACAATAAGAATATGATGAATTTTCGCGTAGACTACAAATAAATTTTTAAATACACTGAGTTTCATTTATTTTTTGATTTCTAGGCATTCCGAGCACTCGTTCAGCCATCGTATTTCCGGTTGCGACCGGCATGAGTCTAGCATTTTGCCTTTCTGCTTGGCGATCTTCAAAACCACAGGCACGATGCGTAGTCTTCTTGCGAATTGATCAACTCTCATGCATCAAATCGATTTTCACTGCAGGTATTTATTGGTTGAGCTTCATCAGCGAATTCTTCTCTCGATACAAATTTCGATATACTGCTTAACCATAATCGGCATTGTGCCCATGTACAGGCAGTAGACATTAAGTGGAATCGTGATATTTATAGCGTGGCACCATTGAAATTAGTTACTGATGAGTATAGATATCAGCAATACACCCCACATTAGAGAATTGTCCGAATTTTTTGCTATTCGAAACCCTGTTCATATTTTTTGCACGTAGAATTTGTCAGTCGAACGTTGCTTCGAATGATTGTGATGATCGTTAAGGTTATGAGCCCATTGTGATCGATTGCATTCGTGGTGTTGAAGACGATGATTTGTTATCAACAGATTTGGAGAGACTGTCCGACATCCTGAGGGATAAACACGATAAGGTGTGTGGTTTTTGTTTTTGATATCCACACGTATATCTTTTTTTTTTAAAATTAGATTTTATCTTCCTCGATGGGAAATACAATGAACATATTACTGAGATTCATGCAGAGAACTTTATTTGGAGNAGAAGGAAAATTTTATGCGAATAAAAGTTGCCAGAAATGAATCTGGATCCGAACTGACGTTTGCTCATGTGCAGATATTAGCCGTTATCAGTACGACGTCATGTTTTGCACCTCGTGGACCCGATGATTTGGTGGCCGTTGGGCAGCTTTGTTCGCGTTACGGTGTGAGACATTTGGTGAATAATGCCTATGGTTTGCAGTCTCTGGAATGTCGACAGCGTATTCAAACTGTAAGTTTATCATTTTGTTTTGAGCGGACATTGCAATTTGCCGCTACCTTTCGAATGTGAGCATTCGATAGCAAAATTTATCAGCCGTTTGAGAACGCTCTTTAAGTTTCAGTTACTCATTTGTTGCGTTAACGTTTTATGTGAATCGTCTCGTGGAACATTTTGAGTTTTTCAAGGCTGGTGAAGAAGGGCACATAGACGCTTTTGTGCAGTCCTTAGACAAGAACTTCTTGGTGCCTGTTGGAGGCTCAGTAATTGCTGGATTCAGTGAAGATACAATTCAATCGATCGCTGAATTCTACCCAGGTAAGACCAGACCGTCTTTCGGACGTTTTATTCGGTGTTCTGGAAGATATTACGATAGATATGAATCAGATTTAAATTTTTCACACACTTATATCATACAATTCAGTCTTGTCGGTTTCACTGTAGATTAGCTTCAAGTGTTCATTTCAGTAGTTTGATATTATTAATATCAAACTACTGAAGTGAACACTTGAAGCTAATCTACAGTGAGCATTAAAGATTGCACTAGGTCGTTTAACGGCCACGATTTTGTTTTGCGAGTGCAAAAAGTTTGTTAGAATATAAAGAATGGCATTTAAAGGTCGTGCTTCGTTGGTACCTTCACGCGATCTGCTCATCACATTATTACAGTTAGGACGAGTTGAACTGCAACGAATCTACACACAACAATCTGAACGATTCAAAATACTTTGCGAAGAATCTCATAAACTGACGTTGGAAATCGGCGAAACCGTATTGAAAACGAGCACAAATTTGACATCAATTGGTATCTGATATAGTCATTTTCTTTAAAAGTCTTTCAATTGTTCTTTTTTCGTACGTTATTCATAGTGATAAGAATGATGATAGCGATGATTTGTTCTGGGAAGTGNTCATCGAAGAAATTTTCTGAAGTTGAGTGATTGGAAATTATTTTTGGATATATTGCACTGTGAAGTACTCTTTTTCCCAATACTGAACAGTGTATGCTTTTATTTGTTTTTATTGAGTTTCAGAAATTCATTTCATCCATGGAGTGAATTTGATTGCGGTATACGATCATTTGTTTGCTTTTTTGAGTAATGGATACGTAGAAGAGCTAATCAGTGAAGTAATAATTAGATAGTTTAGCGCTATTTTTCTTTTGTTTTAGCCATAACTTTGAATGGTCTTCCTCCGAAGAAGCGATCCTTATTTGGTTCGATTCTGTTTGATCGTGGTATCACTGGTGCGAGGTAAAATTGTTGTGAATTTTATTCTTTGACAACTGTTCTACACTTATTTCACCGCCACGATGAATGAAATAAAATATTGTCGAAATTTTTTGTTTAGTTCTGTCGAAGTATTGTTTATATTTTTGGTAATTTATCTTAATTAGGGTCGTTTGTCCGGGAGCGAGAAAAACCGTTTTTGGTCATACGTTTGTTAATTATGGTACGCACTGGTCGTCAGATGCCGAGCAGTTGGCGTATCTCAACGTGGCATGTGCCATAGGTAAGGAAAGTTAATTGCAATTTTCGTCATTTTTTCATTTATGATCTTATTCTACANCAACGTGGCATGTGCCATAGGTAAGGAAAGTTAATTGCAATTTTCGTCATTTTTTCATTTATGATCTTATTCTACACTCTATGGCTGATTGGAAAGAGAAGCTGAGAAGAGATTTCTTACGATTAACAAACGAAGAAATGTTCTTTTGGTGTTGATGAAATATTTTCAGGAATGAGTGATTATGAAGTGCATACACTCATCGAAACGATACGGAAGGAGTATGAGCACTTGCGGAAGGAATGCTCTGGTAACACTGAATGAAACCGAAGAAGCGCAGAAGCGATTGTGGATCGACAACTCCGAAGGGCTTAGAGAAGAGATAACAGAGTGTCAAAAACGTTGTTATTTGTGATATAATTGTTTGTGATATTTGTGGAATTCATTACAAAGAAGTTTGTTACTGTGACAGAGTGGTTCGTGCAGTGAGGATTGGAAATGTTGAATTTATTAATGTAATGTTTGTTGTGCTGTTACAATGAAATGAGCTTTCTTCTCCAACTGAACACTGAATTTGTTTGGTTGACGTTGTTTCAGATGTCGCTACATGTTTTATTTCGATAATAACTGCCTTATCTTTAATTTGTAATCTCTTATCTCACAGGTATCAGGTTCATCTGGATGGCATTTCTTGACAAATCTAAGGATGTGTCCTTGAAATATTAATTTGTGTGGTGGAATATTTGTGTAATACATTTTTTTAAACGCTGTTTTTATGAAACGA